ATAGAGATGCTTAGGTATTTTAGAAAGGCTTGTGTAAAGGGCTTTATTTAAAGTTTGTAGTTTATTTAAAATTTGCTGACGTTTTGGTTAGCTAATTAATGAATCTTTTAATTAAAATGTGAAAGTCTCTGATTATAAATTGTGGGTGGCATTGTAGGTGGCTGGGAGTCCGGAATCAACCCCCCGGAAACTTAGGGGAAACTCATGCCTTTTGCTTTGGCCTAATTTTTCTGTAACATCCTCCTCCCCTCGACGACAGCATGCCTAAAGTGAATTGATCATTCTAAGTTAAAGGGAAAAAAAAAAAGATATTAAAACAGAATGAATCAGGAGTTGAATGGCCAGCCTCCCTTACCCTCAGCAAAACAATCACAGTATTTGTCTTAATATTGAGACAGGTGATAGCTGTAAAAACTTTGTGAAAGGAATAAAGTAACTAGAGAGTGTTATTTATCAGTTAAGCAAGAGTCACATTGTTAGCTGGACTTGGAGCCAAAAGAATTTTGTTCAAGCCCTAGATCTACCACCTGATAAATGGGGGGCCTTGAAAAAGCCTTGACGTCTTAGTTCTCCGATCTCGTAGAATGACTCCTGTCTACCTGTTCACGTGGTAGACTGAACGGGAAGGTGATCTGCAAACTGATTTTAGCAACAGCTGACTATGTTGATGTTATTATTGTTATTGCTCATTGGATTTATAGGTAAATTTTGTATACTTTTCCAAGTTCAATAGCAAAACTGATGAAAGTCTTTCCAGTGTTTTAAGTATGGATATAGTTTTTTCATGAGTATTAAGCCATAGAAGTCAAGGAATGAAGTGAGTGTGATCCAGGAACTGAAATTTTAAATACTCTAAACCTTGCTTTTGTCTCTTTGGGAGATTTGCTCTTTTTTTTTTTTTTTTTTTTTTTTTTTTGTCTTCGTTGTGTCTTCGTTGCTGCACGCGGGCTTTCTCTAGCTGTGGTGAGCAGGGGCTACTCTTCCTTGCGGTGCGTGGGCTTCTCATTGTGGTGGCTTCTCTTGTTGTGGAGCACGGGCTCTAGGCACGCAGGCTTCAGTAGTTGTGGCTCGTGGGCTCAGTAGTTGTGGCACGCAGGCTCAGTAGTTGTGGCACATGGGCTTAGTTGCTCCGCGGCATGTCGGATCTTTCCGGACCAGGGCTCGAACCCGTGTCCCCTGCATTGGCAGACAGATTCTTAACCACTGCACCGCCAGGGAAGTCCCGGGACACCTTATTAAATAAGAAGTAAATGTTAAAAGTATCGAACAGGGCATTTGGTCTCTGATGGGCTTTAAAGCTCCCTTCATGTTCATAAACCATGGATACTGAGGGCTTCGTTGGGGGTGGGCATGTGAGGCAGGCAGTGTTGTTATCCTTAAGGAATTATCTTTTTTGGTTGCTGAAAATGACAGATTGTCAGCATAACACCAGGCAAGTGGAGACTTGTTTGGATGATTTTATTATTTTTTTTCTAACATGCTTTGAGCTAGAATTATCCAGATTGATGTCTACTAATCATATTGCCCACATAATTGCCAAAAATCGACTTCCTGTTCAATTAGATGTCATCCGAGTGTAATTTGAATTCTTTAAATTCTTTGTTCTTTAACAGTATATTTCAGAAGTAGATCTTAGTTCTGAAGTTTTCCAAAGAGCTCCGAATTTATGTAGCTGTGAAAAAACCAGGCATGAGACTGCACAGGCACCCTACCTGAAGCTTATACATTGGTAGTATTTTCAAAAGCATCGGATAACTTTCACCTATTTTTATCTTCACCTCCTGAAATTCAAGATTAGGAGATTCTAAATGAACATTGGCTGCATTTTCCATGGTCCCCAAATCGACTGTATCCGAAGAATAGAAAAAATGGGTGCAGTGGACTCTTGTTTTGATCCTGGTGCCTCAAACCAGGATGCCGCCTTCAGCAGGGGCTTTCATTGGTGTGATGAGCGCATACTTCTTGTTTCTCAGTGATTTTACGGACTCTGCAGCACACGCTTTGATGCTCGATTGTGAGAGTGTACTCTTCTGATGGAGGTTGGGGGCCAGGAGTGGTGGTGGTGACTTTTCTTTGTGGAAGAACATGGAATTTCATTGTAGGAAGGAAGTGGGTTTGTACTGTACTTGCTGGTAGTGTTAACATTTCTCACCAAGACACTTTTCCCCTATAGGCTGGTCTCAAGGTGAAGGGGATGATGTTCCTTGGAAGAATTTTGAGCCCTGTTTAATTGTCCTTGTCTTGTTGCCATTGTTTTTTAGCATCCTCCAGGACAAATAGCAAGGAAATACAGCTCCTGCTCGACTATTTTCCTAGATGATAGCACAGTCAGTCAACCAAACCTCAAGTATACAATTAAATGGTGGGTATACACATTTTTCCTTAACTGAATGTCTTTTCTTTTCCTTAACCTGATGGCTAACTGGTTGGTTGTGGGGTCTGGGAGTGGTAAGATTGGGCAGGGGGAGGCCATATTCAAGAAGTCTTTTTAAAAAGTGATTTTGGGAGTTAAAATGTGGGGTGTTCAAAATATTTGTCTATATTACCATTTACATAAAAAGGCCAAATTTTTCAGTGATTTTAAATGTAGGTTAGAGCATATTTTTGAGTTTTGTGCATACTTTCTACCTTCCCACCTCCTATTGAAGCCATCCTGGCGTAAGTCTGCTAGTATTTTACCTTCAAGATGTAATGGGTCCCACTTTGACGTGGGGTTGCAGTAGAAAGCAGGCTTGGCACCGTGGAAGTGTATTTGCCTGGAGCATGGAGAGTGGGATTCTGACCTTGGCTGTCTCCCCAGCAGGGAGGGTGGGGTGAGCCCCCTCGCTCTGGTCTCTTACTGTAAAATGGGGCTTAAGGGAGGAAAGGGGGGGCGGTCTTCGGATAAAATCTTTTCCCTTTGTGGTTTCAGTTCTCTTATTTTCAAGGGGGAGGTGGGAGGGATGGAATGCTGGTTTTTCCCGAAATGTTCCCACTAGCATTGTGGTAGGAAGCCTTGATAAAGGTGCTGGGGTCTGTGGCCTTTGGCTCAGCTATGAAAAACCTGGGATATTTTGCCTCTGCACTCATTTAAGAAGAGTCCACATTTAACAGCAGTCCATGTTAGCATGTGTGGTGAGTGTTTGTGTTTGTAAATAAGAACCCTTCTTGTGTTCCAGTGGGCCAGGCGTCCAGGCCTCAGAGCCCTGTTCTGCGTGTGCCCACACATGGCAGTCAGGCCTGCCAAGCAGTGGGGACGGTGCCCCCTCCAGGCGGAAGGTGGGAGGTGGGCCCGCCTAGAGGGAGGCCGCCTTCTCCCCTATGGGTAGCTTGTTTCTAAGATCTAAACGGGAACGTAGCTTCTTCCCTCCTTCCGTTGGTGGTTGAGGGACCAGCGGGCATCACCCCACAGTGGACGCTCACGGCTGGGAGCCCGCATGTGCCCTCGCTCCACCACCCTGCCCTTGGCCGAGCTGCCCTACCCTGGGGCTGGGCTCTGTGCCGGGGTCTGGGAGGTGCTGGGGCAGGAAGCAGGAGCCTGGAGACCTGGCACCTGGCACCCGCTCGAGCCCTAGAGCCCCGCCTCCCTGGGGCCTGGGACCCTCCATCCAGGACTGGCGGGAGCTGTGGGTTTCCAGGGGCTCGGACTCTGTTGCTCAGTGCTTCACCTGGGGATGACTTCACACTGCCACTGGTTGTGATGCAGACACTCCGGGGCCCAGTAGGAGATCTGGGTGACAATTTGATATTTCCCTGTGGAGTCTGGGAGGTAGAAGCTCCGCAGTCACAAGTGTGGTCTGTGAATCAGTGGTTCCAGCTCGCCACACCTGCAAGGCCCCCGAGGGCTTAGAGCCCCACTGAGGTGTGATGTCTGGCCCCGCAGATCCAGGATCTGGAATGTCAACCCCTCCGGGAGATTCTCATAGGTGGCCAAGGCCGAGAACCCCTGGTGTCAGTGAACAACTGCCTTCGAGTTCCCTTGTAAGCTTAACCTGTGGTTAATACCGGGAGGAAAAGAAGCTGGACAGCTGGGCCAGTGATGATGGCTGAGTGCCGAGAGGAGGCATCCAGTGTGGATGCTGTGGCTTCCCTGGTCCAGAGGACGCTTCTCCACACCACCCGGATTTGAGATGCCTTCAGTCAGTCGCTTATTTGTTTTAAAATGTGCCGTTGTTAAAAATTTACATTTTGGACCTGGGAACTGGGTGGGGTGGGCCCTAATTGTAGCAATACCATCAGAATCCTTCCCTGTAAATTCCCGTATGTCACACGTGACCTGGTTCTGGTCATTTTGAGGTGTTAGCTGGCCTGGGTAACTTCAGCCAGGGCCTTTGACAGCACGAGGGGAATGAATGTCATGAAGGGCAGGGAGATTGGGAAGTCTGAAGGCCCTCCTATTCTAAAATTCTGCCTAACCTATCCTACACCTGCCAAGGCCCTTGTGGCCTCCTGTCCCAAGATGTTAAAATTGATACAAACTCATTAATCAGTAGTTCAGCTTCCTGTGGGCAGAGTGAGCATTCGTGGGCTGAACTCGCCTCCTGATAAACCGTGTAGGACCTTGGAGAAAATGCTCTGGGTTCTAACAATAGCTTTCTAAGCTAATTTTAGAAGAAAACCCTTCTGGGGGGTTCCTTGGTGGCCTAGCGGTTAGGATTCCAGGCTTTCACTGCCGTGGCCCAGGTTCAATCCCTGGTTGTGGAACAGATCCTGCAAACCACGTGATGCGGCTGGGGTGGGGGTGGAGGGGAAAGGTTACAAAAGAACCAAATGGAAATCCAGGAGTTCAAAAGTACTCTGAAATAAAATTCATATTAAAAAAAAAGAACAAGAAAAGAAAAGAAAACCCTTCTGTAAATCGGGGATTGCCAAAACGAACAAACATTTACGAATTCTGGTTCAGGAATGGGTGGAGGGTTGAGAGTGGCTCTAACTGTCAAAGAGAAGCAGCAGCAGTGTGACACATTTGGGCACGATTCTGTGCTCATTTTTTTCACAGGCATAATATCTTCTCTGAGAACTTGATTTTCCCATCTTTCTCCTGAAGGCCAATGGCTGTGGTATGAATTTAGAGTTTGCCACCCACCCCTGTGCCGCTGTAACCGACCCAGGCCCCGAATCCTGTGTGAGCACGGGGATGGTGCTCAGAGGATGGGGGGAGGGCAGTGAGGGCCGCTCGCAGCTGCCCACACCATCCGCGGCCCCGGGCCTGAGGGTCGAGAGCAGCTTCGTACACCTGCCAGAACCCGGCACCTCTGACTTAGCTCTAGGTGAGAAGTACAGCGAGGGTAGTGCCCGCGGTCAGAAACATGTTTTGTTTTCCTGATCAAGAAAATAGCATTTCTTCACTCCCAGCTCCCCTTCCCTCCTGGCTCTGCAGCAAGGGCAGTTGAGCTAACCCTCTGGCCAGCCTGTCCTGGGTGACCTCACCATTTTCTGAGGACATGGCAGAATAAGCAGGCCTCCAAAGCTGGGCATTTGGAGTAAAGCCTGAAGCCTGGAATTGATTCTGTTTTCAGCTGACTGTCCTTTGCCCCCCCCCGGCAGTCACTTCTTTCACAATGACCGACTGAGCTGGCCTGTGGAGCTGGGCCCAACACGTGCGTCCTCAGATTGGTTTTCTCACTTTCCGGGGCATGATCTTGAGTGGACATTGGCCTACAGACTGGCACTGTGTTTTATGGAGGCCTGAGTCATGATAACGTCCAAGCTTGCTTTCAGCTCTGGAGATCTGGGAGACAGTAACCTTGGGGCCCCGAAGACCTTCACTCCATCTACAGAAGCTGGAAGACCTCTTGAGGTGGAATTATTCATAGGGCAACAACAATAATAATAATAACTTTGCTTTAGAACTTTATATTTGAGATCATGCTTTTATACACTTCATTTGATTGTAATAACCACTCTGTGATGTGGGTTGAATTGTAATTTTTTAGATGAGGAATTGAAGGCTCTGAGAGGTGGATAAACTCTAATTGATGAAGGAGCCAGTTTTTAAACCCAGCTGGTCTGACTTCAGTGCAGTGGTGATTTTCCTGTGATGTGCTCCCTCACAGGGGAAGCAGGGACCATATTTTTCTCAATCAATCAAAGCAATTAAAGTAATCACTATACCAAACCGAATCATATGAAACATTCAATTTAATCATCACAGCAGGACTGTTAAATGAATAAAACAGTACTTTCTTCCTTTTTTCTAGAGGCAGCATTATAGAATGAAAGGGCATAAAACCATGATACAAGTCGGAAATCCCGACATCTAGTGTCTCTACCTGAATTTTCTTATTTATAAAATAGAATCAGTAACATTTATTATTTCCCATTGCAGGGCTTTTAAGGTACGTGAAGGCACTTTGAAAACTGTACCATTATTTTTTAAACGTCTGAAGTCCCTTCACCCCACTTTCCTTCATCAGCATAGATGCTTTTCAAGATGTTAGGAGGAAGAGAATATATTACATTTGCTCAGGGATACTTTTAACACTTAGCTGAAATCGTTTGAATTAATAGATCTGGAAAGAGAGATTTAGAAGGAGATGCTTTCTTTTGATAGAGATGAGCTATTGTCATGTTAAGTCGTGGGTGAACATCTGAGCTACTCAGAGTCCAGCGTGCATGCCCAGGTCTCTGAGTGAGTGCCGCCGCCGAGTGAGCTGAGGTGTTTGGGACCCAGCCCTCTACCTCCATGTTGGTGCCCTGGATGGCAGTTTCTGTGCTCTGAGAACACAATCTGATGCAGCCAGTTAGCTATGTTCTTAGAAGCTTAAAAAATAAATTTTTGGCCTCCTCAATACATTTTAAAGTAAAACAAAAATTGTGGAAGGATCTAGACAGGTTGCAAAAGAGGAAATAATAAAAAAAAATTGGGCAGTCAACACGAATAACCCTGCCAACTTGACAGGTGATCAAAGAAACTCAAATTGAAAACGGTTACACTTTTAACCTGTCCAGTTGGAGAACATTTTTTCAAAACATTCAAGGTGAGTGTTGGTGAAGGGGAGGTGAGACACACACTGGTGGGGAAGTACACTGGTACAGCTTTTCTGCAAAGATACTGGGATGTATATGTGGGGAGCCTTACAGTTATTAATGACCTTAGAGCAAGTAATTCCAAGTACAGGATGTTTTCTTATGGAAATAATATAGTGATAGGTCACACAAATATTTATCTGTGGGTATATTCATTATGGTGTTAATCATAATTGCAAAAATATTAAAAATAACTTAAATGTTCAATAGTAGGGGGATGGTTAATAAATTATTCAACAATGTAATGGAATATAGTCAGCCATTTAAAGTCACGTTTTTGAATGACACTTTAATGGTAAGAAAAATGTTAATGAGGATAAAAGTGGGATGCAAACCTGTTTGCTTTAGGTAGATACGAATAAATACCTCTATATCTTAAGCTGATAGTAATAATCTTTGGGCAGAGGAATTATTTTTCTGTATACTTTTTTTATTTTCCAAAAATTTCTTCAATCTGAATGTAACACATTTTATAATCAGAAAAACATTATTTGAAGAAAATTCAGGGGATAGGAATGTCTTCATTAAATTCAGATCTTTTAAAATGTAAAATAAAATTTTAAGGTATTACAAATAAGAGTTACACTACCATTCAGCAAATGAATGAATAAATTAGGCAGATTTCCAAGAGGTTATTGATTTAAAAGAAAAAATGGCAAACCACTGTGGGTAATATTCACATTTTGATGGTAGTTATAAAGAAACCACTAATTTTCTAAAACAGCAGGTGCTAAGTTGGAGACTTCTAGAGGTGTTTGATTTCACCACCTATTTTTTACATAGTGCCTATATTTTAAAGTGAAGAAAGCTTAAGATTTCAGATAGAAAGAGAAATTTGTTTCTGAATATCACTTGAAGTTTTGGTGTTTCTGGAAAAGATTTAATAATTGCTCAAAATAAGTGCCTGATTGATTTACTTTGAAGAATGCATTTTCTTAATCAGCACTGTGAATTAACTGGGGCTGTTCAGATGGGTCATTTTTTACTTAAATTTTAAATATTTATGGTCAGACTGATGCCAGATAATATATAACATCTTGAATGTGCTTATGAAACACTGAACTTCTGCATTTTATTTTACAGTGTAGCTCTCGCAATATATTACCACATCAAAAACAGGTAGGTGGATTTTGATTAATTTTGTGCTAAAAACATCACACATCATCTACTGTGATGTTTTTCCTATTACGTTCTAGTTCCTCAGCCTTTGAGTTTTATATTCTTATTTCATTTTCATAGAATCTCTAAAGTTAGTACAATTTACCCACACTTACTAGGTAAATGCTGAACTGCTTCTGAGTCAGAGGACACCAAATGAAGCCAGCAAAACAGAACAAAGTTTCTTGACAATGTTCAGCCTCCTCTTGACTTTATTTTCTGTATAATTTGCTTAAACATTCTGTCTGTTATAAAATATTTAAACAATTTTCTGTGTGCAGCTTTAACATGAAAAAATGTTTAGTTTACAGTTTCAATTCAGTAGAAAAAGTTTTGTTGTAAATTTAGTCATAAACTATTTTAATGTAGTAGAAATTCTCTCTCTGATAGATGTCTGGAGATAGTTCAGTTAATTTTAAAAGTCAGTTAAAACAGGGACTCACAGAAGAATCATTTAAACATTTACCTTAAGCATTTTAATTCAACATAAAACATGTAAAAGTACACTCATTTGCCAGTTTTATGCAGCACTGAGGCTTCTGCTTTGAGCGTGGGGCATTGATTACTGAAGTGCTGTCCTTTTATAAGCCACACCTGTTTTGTGTGTGTTTTTTTGTTTGTTTTTGTAATCAATAGCGAGAAAACTTGTGACATTTGCTAAACAATGAGTGTAGAACCTTTTAGGCTTTGACCACACCTGATCTACAGCAAACTTGTTTTTAGTGATTTCCTTTTATTGGGTCTTTATGAAGCATCCTTCTTCGTTTTCATGAGAACAAAGCCACTCTCACTGCAGTCCTGTTCCACTGACGGGTGTGACATTTACATGTGTTATATGAGTGTAGTAACAGTTCCGGGAACCAGCAAGGTCACCTTCTGGCTAGCGTGGGTCTCCGTGGTGGGGGCCACAGCCCTGGAGTCTATTTTAGGAAGGGGACAAGGGAGAGTTGTGACAAGCAGTGACGTGGAGGGTAGATGACAGAGCTTGTGATGGACAGGTTATGGGAAAACACAGCCATTGGAAGCAAATACCTGGAAAGGTATTCTCTGTAATGACCTTTCTCTGTAATGTAACTGTGATTCACGGTTCATTATGGTGCTTGAGAAGTTTGGATTTACGAACTTACAAAATGTAGGATACTGGAACTTCGAACCTTGACCAGAATAACTTAGTGACAGTGTAGATTCATCTTGCTGCTTATTTCTATGATAGTAGTTCACACTTTTTAAACACTTAGGTCTTAACTAGCAATGTAATACCATTGGTGAAACTCAGATGTGTTCTCAAAACAGTTTTGCATTAGCGTCTCCGATTTCTCAGTTCTTAGACTCTATGGGCCTCAAAGCTAATCTATAGCCATAGCTATTAATAATAAGACCCCACTCCATTAAATGCTTACTCTGACCACCCTGGTCAGCTCTTTGCATGCCTTATCTCATTTAATTTTTTTGTAACAGCTCCATGAGGTGATTCTGACATTATCTCCATTTTACAGATAAAGAAACTGAGGCATAGAGAGATTTTTTTTTTAAATAATTTGCCTGAGATTACACAACTAGTAAAGTGGGGAATTGGGAATTGAACCCAAGCAATATACCACTGAGACTTTAAATGATATGCTCTGCTGGGTTAATGGTGATACATTGGGCCGAGAGGAAGTGGAGAGAGTCCAACAGAAAAGTCAGCCTGTGGAAACAAGCATGATTAATTTACAGATTGTAGCCTGAAAGTGTCTTGAGAAGAGGTGTCTGCAGACTCTCCCTTTGATAAGTCATACTGACCCAGCCTCAGGGGCTGGTGATAGATCCCTTAGCTTTGATAGAGACTGTGCTGAGATTCATAGCTTTTAATGGAAGTGAAAGCAAAATCCACTTCTTAGAGGAGTCATTTTAGCTTAAATTCTGAATCCTTATTTATATTTCTGAACCTACATTTTGATTTTTAAAATTACTTGTGAAAGTTTCTCGAGAGTGCTGAATGGTGTTTCAGGGGCTCTCACTCCTCAGGAGAACTGAACAGGGCTGAAGAGCCTGAGGAGTTGGGGGCGTCCCTCACCTTCCTCCTTGAGTACCTGGCAGAGGCGGTTGGCAGTCGAGGGGGATCGTGATTCCTCAGCGCCAGGTGCACTTTACGTTTTCACCCCACTCTCCAGTCCTGACTGCTTGAGCCGTGCTTTTATTCGGGTTCATCTAAATCTTTGCTGTCTGTCCTGCAGGCTAGTGAAAAGCAGCACAGGTATGAATGCCCAGAGCTTTAAAAACAGTTCCCACTGTGCAAAGACAGGGATGAAAATTGAGCTGTCCTGCCAAGCTCTTTCTTTCGCTTTTATTTTGACGCAGACAGTAAGTTCATAGAACAGAAACTGTAGTGTTTGCCACGGGGCGTGCGTGTCAGGGACAGATCTGCAGCCTTCTGATACTTGCAAGGCTAGTTGACGTTGGAAAATTGTGTGCTGTTAACCAAAGCAGTGGTTTCCAAATTTGGTTTTTAAAGAAAAAATTTTAGACAAAACTCAAATGACGTAAAACAGATGGAGGTAGAGCCATCACTAGTGGAGTGTGGACGACCCCCCAGAGCCCAGCGGCCCCGCTGAGCTCACAGTGAACGCTGCCACTTTAAATGGGTCTGTGCAGTTACCGGCTTGGTAACAACCAGTTACACTTTTCTACGTGTCCCCTTTTGTTTTTCAATATACAGTCATGAAACTCCTCATTAGCGAAGTGGTTAAGTTGCATGCTGTGAAACTTTCAAACTAATCTCCAGGACACACTATGAGTGTTCATTGTTACCCTCAGAATTCTTTCTTGTCAACCACAACGTAAGGATGGTTTAAACAGATCTGTCAGCCTTTGCTCAGAAACAAGAGGTTAAAGAAATTTAGATTTGGTTCATTTGAAAACTCAGGAAATGAAAATCTACATTTTCACTTAAGTTAATTAAACTAAATGTGATTCATAACCTTTATTTCTTGGACTATTCAAAAATGATTAAGTATTGTCCCCAAGAAAAACAAATTATAATTCATGAATAATCAGTAGCATCTCTTAACAGCACTGCCTCTGTTTCTTGAAATAACAGCTGAATCAAAATATATTTTTGTTTCCTTTTGACTGGCACTCATACTTGCAGAAGGTAAACTCCGTTTTCTGTTATTTCTCCCCCCGGCCCGCTCCCCCAACCAGGGACCCAGATGGAAGGATGCTCTTGGATATTTTCGATGAGAACCTTCACCCTCTTTCGGTAACCCTCCCCCGGGGTCTCAGGGTGTTGTCCAGTCGTGTCTCTGTTATTCTTGTTGGGCGGCCAGTCATTGAGAATCTCTCCTTTCCCAGAAATGCGAAGTGCCACCAGATTATGACAAACACAACCCAGAGCAGAAGCAGATTTACCGGTTTGTTCGGACACTGTTCAGTGCTGCTCAGCTGACTGCGGAATGTGCCATTGTCACCCTGGTGAGTGCCCACAGGGTGACGCGGTCGTGGAGTGGGGCGCAGACAGGAATGTCCATCACGGACCTGGGAAGCACAGCACCACTTCAGGGTTGTCTTTTATCTGGGAGGGTAGCGACGGGATCTCCTAAAAGAGGGTGCGTGTGTGGTCTGCTCCACAGTGCCCACCTAAAGCCCATTGTCAGATCGCACTCAGAATCAGGAAAGCTGAAATGCTGCGTGCAGGTAAGTGAAGCATGGGGCCCAAGGGCCTGAGAAGGACCAGCGCCTCCTCATTAACGTCCAGGTTTCTGGCGTTGGTTCCCTGCAGAGGTTTAATACCATTGATCAGATGTGATAAGTTCATATATTGGAAGGACTGCTGTAGTTGCTGCCTTCTCTTTTGTGATTTTCATGTAAATATGTGTCTGTAAGATACTCAGAGACAGCATGGACATAAATCTGCACTTTAAGACTTGAGATAAAAATCTGTAACCTTACTTAGACTCTGAAAACCTTAGGGACGGACTCTTTAGGTCAGGTCTCATTTGGGAAATAGATTTGACAGTGTAGCCCATTGTCACTGACCTTTCGTCACTGACATTGTGTGCAACTCAGATAAGAAGTCAGCTCTGCCAGTGCACGGGCTGCCCCGAGGGACCAGAAAGTCATCCCTGCAGTTCCTGAGAAGAGATTGGTGTGTGACAGAAAGTGTACAGGACCCTTTGTGTCTCTGCCACACTAAGAGCCCTGTACTCTCGGACGATTGGACAGTAACCTGTTTGTTCATTTCTTCTCTCATGGAACTTGCCGCCTGGTAGGTTAACAGACATTCAACAAGTCTTCCTCTGGTGATCTGGAGTGATGATAGGTCCTTAGGTCATGATTGGGAAGAAATTTATTGCTCAGCTTTGTTCCTCCAAAGGATGTCACGTCCTTAACAAAACACACCTTGGGCAGCAGGATTGATATTTTAATGAAAGGAGATTGTGATAAAGGGGAGGAGGGAAGGGTGAGAAAATCAGATGACACTGTGGATAAGATTAGTACTAAAATCCACACCATGATGAAAGATTTATTTTGAAGCTTCTGCAGATGGAATGTGGTGGGGTTTTTTTTACCTTCCATTCCTAAGAAAACTGTGACCTGACCGTGCCCTGTAGTGCCTTAGAGTTTGGATTTATTAGCATGAAGGAGAAGGTTAGTGTCCTGTGGAGGACACAGTTTCTGCAGAGACATGGAGAACATGTAAAGTGTGTTTCCCTGTCTCCGAGGGTGGCTGGGAGGGGTGGCTAGTTTGTCTTGGGAGTACTACGAGAGTGGTGTGTATTTGTCAGTCATTGGAACTGCTGAAATCTTCTCTTGTCCTGTGACATCAGCTGGTGGCTTAGCAGGGGATTAGCATACATATATGGCGGTCTTGCTGGCTACAGCCTAAAGGTGAGCAGCTTCGGGGCCCGCACAGCAGGCCCAGCCCTGCAGACCAATTCTCTGGGGCCTGCTTGGTTGGCCGAGTCAGCCTGGGGCCTGTGGGCAGAGGGGAGACAGCTGCGAGCTCTGAGCGAGCCCCATGTATGATGATCCTGCCCTTCTCTCCAGTCTCTAGAGGTAGAAGCAGCCGTTCACAACAGGTCCGGTCTAGAGCTGGCAGAGCTGCGTCTCTCTCGGCCTTTCTCCTGGGCCTTCTCTTGGCTGCGTGCCCGGGGGGAGGCAGGGGAGGCCCACAGTTACCTCTGCACTGCTGCACACAAGGAACCAGAGACTGCAGCCTGCCTGTGCAAGGAGCTTCCAGGACCTTCAGCCACTTGCTCCTGGCTGTATCAGGAAGCACCAGTCATGCCAGCCCAGCTGGGTCCCCCTCGAGTGGCCTGGCAGGTCCAGCCATTGCTGCATGGCCATGAGGGCTGCCATTCAGCCCCTGGACTGCAGCCCCAAAGTGCCTCTCAGAGGCTGGTGCTCTGATGGTGAGGCGACCTGTGGAATCTATCCATTCTGACCCCGAAGACTCCCTTTTTAGGTCACGTTAGTGGTTTCTAAGGAAGTCAAAAGCTGTTGTTCAGATGGTGTCCAGTGACGAATCCAAATATCTCATTCTTGTGCTCCTTCAAATACTAGCAAATAGGAAGCGCTGTTGAGGTCCCAGTTGGCTGAGCTCTGGGTACGAGAGTCTTAAGATGAATGGACCCAGTGCTGCTCTTTAAAATCCATGGAAAAATTCCAGCATCGTCGGAAGTTTGGTCACATATCCTGGATTCCATGAGCTTGCATTTTCTCCCTCCCCCGTGCCTTTAACAGTTTTATTTTGTACAGTCAACTGAATGCTCTTTGTAGCTCAGTAAGTGCTCACTGGCCTCTCTTTTCTAGAGACTCCCAAGGATGGTCCTTCTTATGAAAGTGAATCTGAAAATTTAATTGAGCAAGAGTGTCCTGTTAGCAACGGTCTAGGGAACGGTGCTGAGAAAGAATCAATTGTCTGTTATTTTACTTGGCAGAGAATTAAAACACCCAAGTGGGAGTTTACTAAAGAAGTTGCAGCTGACCCTTGCATATAGCTTTACTGGCAAGTTCTGCTAAATTACATGCCATTAAGTGGCGCTTATTATGAATGCCTTATCTCCCAACCTAACAACTGTCTTCCCTCAGTAATGGAGTGTATTTTCATGTCTGATTCCTCTAGTTAGCCTAGTGGAATATCAGACATGGTAGATGCCCGTTATTTTTTTCTAAATGTTACCTTAAATATTATCTAGTGTACCTGTTAATATCTATCAACTATGGTAAAGTAAGAAGAAAATTGAGTAGCCTTCTTTCTGTACTGAGTCAATGAGGAGCTGTTTCATTGGGGAGCTTGGAGAGGTTTACATAGCTCGTCTGTATAAAGGAATAGAGTCTTAGGGATCTGGATGAAGACTGTTCATAACAATTGCTTTAAAAAATCTGGAGTTAGGTCCAGCCTCAGTTTTCTGCTTGTTTTTTTTTTTTAAGAAATACTTTATTTATTTTTTGGCCACACCACATAGCTTGTGGGATCTTAGTTCCCCGACCAGGGATTGAACCCGCGCCCTTGGCAGTGAAAGTGTGGAGTCCTAACCACTGGACCACCAGGGAATTCCCTATCATACATCTTTTTGATTCTCTCCTTGGTAGAATGAGAAGAATTACTCATCAACCTTTGTAAAAACTATGGAAGTAATCATTCCACGGTTCAGAAAAATGTAAAACATACCAATAAACAGATTTTTATGAAGGGGGACTTTAAAAGGCATTCGTACCTTGTGATCCAGCTTAAGCAGTGGGCTTTGTGGGTATTTCTGATGTTTGTCTTCAAACTAAAGTATGGCAGTTTATAAATCCTATATTACATGGTTTCATTTTACAACTTCAGCTGGAATTATTTCATTTAAAAACAACCACTTCAGGGACTTCCCTGGCGGTCCAGTGGTTAAGACTCCATGCTCCCAATGCAGGGGGTCTGGGTTCGATCCCTGGTCAGGGAACTAGATCCCGCATGCCGCAACTCAGCCTGCATGCCTCAACTGAAGATCCCTCACCCAGCAACGAAGCTCTCACGTACTGCAACTAAGACCCAGCGAAGCCAAATACATGCATACATACATACATACATACATAAATATTAAAAAAAAGATACTTCACACCCATTAGGATGACAATAATTAAAAAAAAATACAGAAAACAACAAGTGTTGGCAAGGATGTGGAAACATTGTAACCCTTGTGCATCGCCGGTGGGGATGTAAATGGTTCAGCTGCTGTGCAAGATAGTATGGTGGTTCTTCAAAAAATTAAACATAGATTATGATATGATCCAGCAGTTCCACTTCTGGGTGTATACCCGAAAGAATCAAAAGCAGAGACTCGAACAGATACTTGTATACCAGTGTTCACAGCAACATTATTCACAGTAGCCGAAAGAGGAAACCACTCGAGTGTCTGTCAGTGGATGATAGATAAACAAAATGTGGTCCATACATAAAATGGATCATTATTCAGCCTTGAAAAGGGAGGACATGTTGACACATGCTACAACGTGGAACATTATGCTCAGTGAAAGAAGCCAATCACAAAAGGACAAATACACTGCGATTCCACCTATGTAAGGTACCTAGAGTAGTCACAGTCACGGAGGCGGAAAGTACAAAGGTGGGTGCCAGGGGCCAGGGGAGGGGAAGTGGGGAGTTGTAATAGGTACAGAGTTTCAATTTGGGAAGATGAAAAAGTTCTGGAAATAGAGATAGATGGTGGCGATTTCACAACACTGTGACTGTTCTTAATGCCACAGAAATGATTAAGTGGTAAATCTTGTGTGTATTTTACCATAATAAAAAAACGTTTATCAACACTGCCTGTAAATCTACAATTACCTCAAAATAAACAGTTTAATTTAGAAACAACTACAGATAGAAAAAAATAGGTTTCTTCCTTTCATATCCTTTGTTCTCCTCCTTGACACATTGGTGGTTTGGGTTTTTTTTGTTTGTTTTTTTAAACGGAACTTTGTTTTTTGGCTGTGTTGGGTCTTTGTTGCTGCATGCAGGCTTTCTCTAGTTGCGGCGAGCAGGGGCTACGCTTTGTTGCGGTGCGCGGGCTTCTCATTGTAGTGGCTTCTTGTTGCGGAGCACGGGCTCTAGGAGCGCGGGCTTCAGTAGTTGTGGCTCGCGGGTTCTAGAGCGCAGGCTCAGTAGTTGTGGTGCACGGGCTTAGTTGCTCCGCGGCATATGGGATATTCCCGGATCAGGGGTCGAGCCCGTGTCCCCTGCATTGGCAGGCGGATTCTTAACCGCTGCGCTACCAGGGAAGCCCGGTGGTTTGTTGAATGTGTGTTGATGTCATAGTTGGTAGAGTGAGAAATTAACCCGCAGCTCCTAGAACACTTTCCTGCCCCGGAGTCTTAAGGGCCTGCCTCATCCACACATCCAGTTACAGAGTGTGCCTCTCAGCCCATTTTGCCTCAGACTCGTTGAGCCCTTTGACTTTTTAAAATACGTGTGATCAGGCTGTCAGCGCCTGTTTAAAGCTGAGCTGGGGGAGTGCAGTGAACAGCTGGGAGTTGGTTCGCGGGTGTTGGCGGGTGTGGAGCAGTAACAAGGCAGGTCACCGGGCGCCGGCGTGCTCGTGTCTTCCAGGTGTACCTCGAAAGGCTTCTAACATATGCAGAGATTGACATCTGTCCGGCCAACTGGAAGCGGATTGTTCTGGGGGCCATCCTGCTGGCCTCCAAGGTATGGGACGACCAGGCCGTGTGGAACGTGGACTACTGCCAGATCCTGAAGGACATCACGGTGGAGGACATGTGAGTGTGGGCGGGGGTGTCTGCAGAGGAAACCCTCCCCTTTGTGGACCTGCTCAGTGTGGTTATGAGTGGATGTGATTGCACGTCTGTTGTGGGCTGGCCGAGCAAGGACACAGTTGCTGAAAGCCTTATTCTAGGCGAACCTTCCTTTACCTTCCTGCTCCCTGTCTGCGGTGGGGCTCATCCCAGCTCTGTATCCACTGCAGACTGATGACTGGCAGCAGATGGGCTAAAATGTTACCTGTTTCTGTTCAGAGAGAAGTCTTTCACTGCTTTTGTCACGTTTTGCAAGTTCAGTTGCTTAAAATGAGCGTTGTGTCCTCGAGGTCCCCCTGTGCTGTCCTGGTCGGGCTGCGTGTTCTCAGGGCACCATCCTGAGCTCACACTTAGCTGCGGCCCGGGGGCTGGGGTCCCAGGGGCTGGGCGTACAAGAAGTGGGGTCAGAACCTCCCAGGAGCAATGAGCTGTTTTGGAAACACTCAATCATATGAATTTCTTACAGTTCCTTATGGTTTACAGGCATTTCTGACATGATTCTTGCTAATATTTTTCTCATCTTGTTTGGCTTCCTTGAGGAAGCTCTGAGCTGGAGCAGGTTCCACTGTGTCCCGGTCCACATACAGGTCCCTGGACCCAGTGACCAGTGCGGGCTCCTCCCCACCCTGCCCCCCCTCTTCCGGTTGCTGGTTCGCTGGGCACCCCATTTTTGTGCTGCCCTGGGAGCTCCTGTTTGTGTTTTGGGTCTTTTGCCAGAGCCTTTTCCTGCTGCATACCTGTATGACTGCTTCCTACATGTCATTCTTTATCATAAAAAGTAAGACAAATATGAAGTTTTTGACAGCAAGAAAAATAAAATGAGCATATTTTTTAAAAATTCTTGATTACATTTCAAGGTGAAAACAGTTACTAAGATAATTGTCATCCAGACTGTAAGTAGGTTGCTTCCACCTTTGAGCTGCTGTGAATAACACTGTCGTGAATATGAACACGGGTGTGCAGACACCTCCCAGAGGCCCTGCTTTCCGTTCTTTGGGATCTATGCCCAGAAGTGGGATTGCTGCTTGTTGGCTGGTCTTTAAAGTGAGCCCATTTTTCTGCAAAAGCCGACAGGCCATTAGGTGATGAAAACAACTCGCTTTACTCCATTTTAGAACCCCATTTGCAAGTTGCTAAATGGCATCAGTTCAGTTGGGTTTCTTTACGGTGTTGATCTAATGTACCAAATATTTATTAAATTTTTTTGTTTATTGACTTGAATTTATTTATTATAAAGTTTTACATCAGAACTATTTCCTTATAATTATCCCCTTCGGGGCAGTAAATCCATGAAGCCCGTTCTCTCTGCATCACTGTTAGTTTTTTGATGATTTATCACATAACAAGCTGTCAGATGTCCCTGGAGGATGTACTTCTGCCGTTTGGAAATTCAGATTTGGGGAATTATTTTTATTTTCTAAATCTTGCCTTAGTTGGAAAACACAGAAGCTCTAAAATCTTTATTTCCCCCCAAACTTAAACATTCTGTTCAAGAAAACACTCAGTATTCAGGAAGGCTGTTTTTTCCCTAAGGAACCCTGGGAAACTGCCACCTTGTTCAAAACAAGATTCCTCTTGACTTTAATCCTAGTTATACCCTCAACAAGAGGCAGTGGTGTCTAGATACCATTTGGGGCAGGAATAGCTAGCTGACTAGTTCTCCTTTTATACTAAAAACTTGCTGGCATTGGAGAATGGGATCTGCAGTGGCACCTCTTAGCCACCGGGTGGCAGTCTGTCCACAGGCAGCTCCCAGGTTGCCCAGGAGAGCACTTCTGCCTTAGCGTATTTTTGACACTTAAGATTTTACCTGGGTTCCAGTATTTCACAGGATGACCTCTTATTAAATCTCACTGAAAGGAGCCATAAATACAAGTCATTAAAAGTGTAAAGTTTAGCACAACACACACATTTGGGGCTTTACTCCTTTCTCGAAGCTGCATCGAAGCAGCCCCTCCGATTAAATGACCTGAATGCGACGTCTTGGTCCCTCCCTCTGAGGCGCTCAGGCCTTCGATAACGACTTGCTGAGGTTTCTCGCTTCTGATCTGCCT